CGGCCCTTTCCTGCATGTCATACCACGCACTCTCCTCCCAACATTTCCTGTCTCTCTTCAGCTGTTCTATCCAATAAAGGCAAAAAGCCCCCAAAAATTACTTAAAGGTCACATATTATTTAAAATATACTTGTGAACACTTTCCAACTCAGCAGGTGCGAAGTATCAAACCAGAGGGGGGCTACACTGAATGTGACACAATAGTTCATAGAAGCAGGAAGGTCACATATTATGAAAATTCAATATCTTTTTTCTCTAACACTAACATGTGTCCCTAGTCTGTCTAGAAACCCTCCAATGTTGAGAAAAGTCCATCCTCTCCGTCTTCTTTCTGCTCCACTTTTCAGAAAATGTTTGGTCCATTTGGAATTTTCCCTTCATGACATCACAAAGGGCAGTAGCCCCTCCCCCAGGTGGGTGACACTCCCACAGCTAGGTGTTTGTTCTGCCCTCTGAGTCTGCCTTCTCACCGTAAACAATAGGGCATGGAGCAAGAAAGCCAGAGACACCCAAGCCCTTCCAGAGAGGGGGCGTGGTCATACACAGCTCATTTACATATTTAAAGGTACAGACACAGAAACAGCCTGTTCTGAGCAGGGCTGAAATAGAGGGGTTTATAGACATGATCAAATACAGGATCAGAGTGGATTTAGAACAAGAAACTTCACACACAGGAGCTCTGAGACTTATTTAAACTGGTTGAAGAGAAGGAGAATATGAGACCTTTAAAAATAAATGGTGCAAACGAATGGCCATTACACCTAGACATAAATCCAACAAGTTAAATGTGTTCATGCTGAGAGGGAAAGCATTGCTTAACTACATCGAAATGCTTTTAATTATATTGAGATAAAATCAGACTTTCACAATGCGTTTATTGCAAAGGCTCATACTGTAACCATATTAACCATAATTGCACAGCAATTGAACTGAAGTAGAACATGTCCAGTAAGGTAGCATGATTCATCTTTCAAACACATTTCAAAGTGATGCCCACGTCGCTCTTGGCATGAATCAGTGTTTTACAAAGCTACGGGCCCATTCTCGAGCCAGATCAAAGTTTCAAACAAAGATGTCAGTGAAAGTGACACTGTTTCTATGGTAACGTCTAAATGTTTTTTAAACTTACCAAGCTCTCCTTTAGATTTCATTTTCTAATGATTTCATACCAGAGGCAGCTATTTTTTTTACTGAACTGAGCTCTGCTTGTCCTTTCTATCCACTTCACTTCTAGTGGGAGAGAGTGGATCCATCCTCAGAGTGTCAGTTTGACCTTAAGGGTTGGAGATCGGTGTCTGGAGTGCCGCCATACCTCCCCTCACTCCCAGTCTGCTCCCAAAGCTGCCTACCAACCACACTTTGGGCCTATGTTTGAGCAGAGAGGAGAGTTTCTTACCAAGAGCCAGTCGAAATGTCGAGGTCTGTGTGAACTTCAGACTGTTTAAGCATTATTTTTTACCTCCTGTTGATCTACACACACTTCTAATATTGCTGTATTTTTTAAGAGTTTTAGACGTATTCTTTGACATTACTAGATATTTTTAAGTTTGCTTTAAGGTCACATATTCTGCAAAAAACACTTCACCATGTTTCTCAAACACTAATATGTGTCCCTAGTTTTTCTACAAACCCCTTAAATGCCACAAATCAGGTGTCTTGCCCAAGGACTCTTCGTCATGCAGAGGCGCTGCTTGTCAGAAGGTGCTTGGGGCCCCAGGCCAGAAATAGGCCCTCAAGGGCTGACAAACCTTAAATCACAGCAGTGCCTTATCACTGTATGCTTTATGAATAAGGCTTTAAGCTAAGCATGGTGGAAGCAAATGATGCTTAATTTTTGGAGCTATTAAAGGTTGCAATTAAGTCTTAGCCAATCAGACCTTCAGACTTTTTTTGCTGCTTGTTGAGTCGCCCCCTACCTGCCATTATAAAGAATGCATATGTTTAAGACACTACTGAATTCTCTTCAGCTTTGATACCAGGATGTTATTCCAATTTTGTTTACAAAGTCTATAATTGAGTCAAAATAATATTGTAGCTTCTTTAAGTATTAAAGGAGCAAAATGCAACTAGAGCTGTCTCCCCCCGACCCCTCCTCCCAAGAGTCAAATCTCACACAGGTTGCCATGTCGAGGACACTGTAGCTTCAGTGTTTATCCAGCTCTGCATCGGTCAGTAAACCTTTCTGTGTTCTAACCTCTCTCCATTTTTCAAAATCATCTCCAATATTGATCCTAGTTTGAGCACGTTTCTGCTCGTGGAGCTTATTAGAAACATGCAGAGGCTTTTTAGGTCGGGTACAATCACTTCTATCTGAACCACTTCTCTTGCCCGCTTCCATCACTGCAACACCTGTTGACCTGATAACTGCTCTCATATCTGACAAACCGAGGGGCGTCCAAAACAGCCAGTTAGAAGGAGGACATACTGGCTGCTGCATTGTTGTCAGAGAAGCCAGCACTTCAACATAGCATGTTTCATTAATGTCTGATCAAATAGTAAGATACCTTTATCATTTCACTCACTACATATCTCACTGATTTGTCCTTTAACAATGACACAACTTCCAGCTCTCTCTTCCATCTGTCTTTAAGAGCTCTTTATTGAGCTTTTTAGACCCGGGGCCACTGCATGGTCTGCTCCTAATGGCTTGTGGACAAGCACAGAAGTTTGCTTAAGACAGGAATAATGAGTGGAGACCCACTGCAGAGTTAAATCTAAACCGCTGACCCATGACAAGCTGTCCTCAGACCGTGAGAAAAGGGCCTCTTTCCATGCCAAGAATGTGGGTGGCCGGCCTTGTTGCTCAAAAAGCCGATCTGAGGAGTGTGGTGGACAGTTGCAGGACTAAAGTGCACCAGCAGGTTTTTTTTATGTCTGATTTATCTCAGGCTGCTGCTGTTTTTTGCACATTAGCCTGTTTTTGTCCCATTTTTCCTGTCATTCGTCTTATCTGTGTTCAGCATGTATGCAGGGAAACAGAGCGTATAAATGGTGTAAGAGTGGGAGGGGAATACTTGAGGCTGCACACGCAGTCAACAAGTGAGAGTAAATAACTGGGAAATTCGGGCACAATTATGAGGTTATGTCCTTGGAAATTCTTAAGAAGTTTAATTTCTTTTTTCTCTTTTTGCTGATTCACCAGCCTGACACATAACCCCCCACCTCCCCTCCTCACACACACACACTTACACACCACCAGCACATCCCCAAGTGTATAAGGCATTGTGTAAAGTAATGAATACTCCGCTCTTCAAGGATGAGAAGCTGCACTGTGCTGTCTGTTTGCCACTCGCACTGAAGGGGATTTTAGCTCCCCGGGATTCAAACCCAGAGTCAAGGGGTCACGGTCTGCGCGAGATAGCAGGGGCCATGATTTGTGTGTGTGTTTGTGTGTGTGTGTCTGTCTGTCTGTGTGTGTGTGTGTGTGTGTGTGTCTGTCTCTGTGTGTGTGTGTGTGAGTCACTGCATAACGCCGACACACGAGACGCCATATGTTTCCATCCACTTCTCTGAAGAACAAATGCACTGTCCTTATTCATGACGTTCCCACAAGAGTCTGTTTTCTCACTCACACTGTGGTGTGTGTGTGTGTGTGTGTGTGTGTGTGTGTGTGTGTGTGTGTGTGTGTGTGTGTGTGTCTGTCAATGTAGCAAAACGCAGCAACAAGCAGCCAGTATGCACATCAAGTTTGTCATGAAAGACACATAAAAAGCGACACCTGCTTGTGTTGTCCATGAATGCATTCAACAGGGATCTTATTTAAATTATTGTGTGCAGTCAAACATAACAAGTGCAGGCTGGACTGTTCTTCCTGGAGGATGTAATGCTTTCTTTGTGGACAGAAAAAAAACCTTTGAAGCAGCGTTATGATGATGTGCCATCAAAATTGCTCACTTGGAACCAAGACGCCAATAAAATCCAACATCCTGAGGAAATGAATTCTGTCGCTTCAGCAACTAACCCACGTGGAGAGACCCACTTATAAACAACACAATATAGTTCATGTTGTGTGAAAGTTCAGCAGATGTTTCACTCATGGTGCATGGCTCATTTTAGCTTTAATAAAAATAACATGTTTTATTTCAATGTAATATACTTTTTTTTAAATTGACAGAGTCAGAGAAAGGACAACAGTTTTGGTTTTACTGACAGTAGTATTAGCGGTACAAACACGGATCCTGGTCCTGTTAAAGTGTAACCTGTGGGCTTCTGCGTTGTGTTGTGTTCGTTCTGAATAACGCTGTGACACTGGGATACAGACTAAAATCTCCATTTTACTTCCCAGCCAGCTCCACTTCTTTTTTTAAAAAGGAGCAATTTACCAGTATACCAACATGGAATAAAAAAAGTACATACATATATGGTAAATGGACTTTAGCTTGTATCCCCTTTCCTGTCTTCTGACTCCTTGAAGCTCTTTTACACTGCAGGTCACACCAACACATTCACACACTGATGGTAGAGACTGCTGAGTAAAGAGTCCATCAGAAGTTACTAACCACATTTATACACATTCATACATTGTTAACAGAGGCTGCTGTGTGGCTGTGTGGCTGCAGGAGTTTGGGAACGGAACATAGACCTTCCAGTTGAGAGATGACAAACTCTACCCGTACATGACAAAGCATACTGTACTGTGAACAGAGTAGAACAGACAATGTCAACGAACAAAATTCCTGACCTCCACTTTGGAACCCACTGTGACCTCTTCGCACACAAGATAACTTGTGGCAATAAAATATATTGTGTGCGCACAAGATAAGCCGAATTATGTTTGCAGAAAAAGTATTTTTGGGACTGCAGGGGCTCCGTGGAGAAGAATGACGAACGATGCGTTCATTACAAATGTATTATGATGATGAATCTGCTGTTTGTTTGCATCCTCGTCTTCTGCTACAGGAGCAGCCTGCTCGGTCCATTTTGCAATCACAACTTTCCCCTCCCTCTCCACCCCCCTCAAGTACAACTTTGTCAAACTTTTTAAAAAAAGAAAAGCGACTCTTCCTCTCGCGATAGTAGCATGCTTATGCAGCCGCCATATTCTGTGACAGTATTTTGATTCGTATCTGCTGGAAGTGAGGAAAAAGAGAAAAGTGAAGGGCTGTCGAGGGGAGGGGGGGCTGAAGAAGAGGAGCTGTCAAAAAGGTATTCCCGAGTCTCTGCTGAGGCTCGGTATCCCTCCACACAAGGCCCAGGGCCTCGGTTCACTTGGCTCTCCGTCTCCCTGATAGTAGCTGGACCCCTCTCGGCTTCTACTTTCCGAGCTCCGCGGCCCTCTGGAGGTCCGGCGGCGGTCTCGGGTGTTGTTAGGCGGCCCGGGGAGCGGCGGCGGCGGCGGAGACAGAAAGGTAAGCTGCGTTAAGTTAACTTTACCCAGTTAGCAACAGCCGGAAGAAAACAGGTTTAAACTCGTTTCTGTGGACTCAAAATGGAGATTATCTCACTGTTTTTAAAAACGTCCTCATTGTGTTTAAAAAGAAAACGGAGACACAAAACTTTTCAGATGTGGAAAAAGTTTTTGTCTATGCTAAGCTAAGCTAGCTTCTGTCTGGAGGCTGTTAGCGTCTCGGCCGAGTGACTAAATCAGTGTCGAAACTTTAAAATATACGCTTCAACCTCTCCCCAGAGGCTGCTTTATCTCAACACCTGCACATATATCTTACTTTTGTTTTTATCTGAGCATAACAATGGCTGACGCTACATGTTTTGTAGCTACTTTTTCCATTGAGCTCTGCTTTGAAACGACGCAGGAGCAGCCGCTGGATGGAAATGTTAAATCACACACCAAGTATTTAGTCTGTAAAAACACTCAAAATAAGTCCTTTACACATCAATTAAATGTTCAACACGTTACTGCCACATTCACCTTTTTTAGTGAGACTTATAAGTAAACGCAGCAGGTTGGTAAATTGGGTGAAGCTACACCTGTAGTACAAATTAACGCCTTGTCCAGAGATTTCCATAGCAACACGATTAAAATGATTTCCATAGCAACACGATTAAAATGATTTCCATAGCAACACGATTAAAATGAACTCTTTCAATGTATATACTTTCTTACAGAGATGATTTAAGTGTTTCACAAGTGGAGCCAGGTTACTCTTGAGATGACACACAACACATACAACCTTCTGTTTGAAGAAAATAAAAGAGTGATTCATGCTTGATCACTAAAAGACGTGGGTCAGTTGTTCCCTGTTTGTAATGGATCTCAGTCTTTGCCAACCCAAATGACAGCCCTGTAGTCCTTGTTGTTGTTGTTGTTGTTTATGCTCTTAGTGTAATTAAGATGTTTATCATGAGATAACCTAGCCTCGATTTTGAGGTGATTTATTTATTCTGTTAAAGACACTAGGAAAGGCTGAAAAGCTCAGTTGACAACGTTTGACCTATATTTTTCAAGTTAGGCATTTGGAAAAATAAGTGACCATGAATGTTGTTTTAAAGTGAAATTATTTGACGTGATATCTTTCATGTGTTTCTCCTTCCTGCCGGTCAAATTGTATCCCAAATATTGAAGCCAAATCTAACTTGAATATGAATATTTTGATGACATATATTATGATTTCTCATTTGCAAGGCGTGTGGTCATTATGCCTCTTCAATTTCATGGTTGTGTTTGAGCAATATTGGTGGTCAAACAGGGTAACTAGAGATGCACTGATTGGGACGATGTAGCTGATTATGATACCGATGTTTGTTTCATGACTTCTTTTTGTCTAAGATTCTCACAATGCTGACATTTTCTCTCATTTTTGACAAAGAAGTCAGAGTTTGTTCAACAGGTAGCCTCATCTGCCCAATAAAAAAACCTTGTCTCTAAATCAGTAGTTTGGTGAACTTGATGTCAGTATAAAATTGATTCGGCACAACAAATAAACAAATGGTACTGACATCGCTTCATTTCACATTATTTGCCGATGTGCCAACATCTGTCAACAGGGTCACTATCGGTCGATACTGAATTTTAACCAATGCATCCTAAAAGGAAACCACTTTGGGTGTGTTGAGAAAATGTTTCTCTATGTTGTATCTCTTAGGCAAAGGCTTTATATTTATACCAGCCACCAGTGAAATGAAACAAAATGTAGGCTGTGGGACGTTTAAACTAGTAGCAGTTAATGAAACTGACCGAAAACTATTCTATTTTTTGGGGGGCTTTTTGTGCCTTTTAATTTAGAGATAGGACAGTGGATAGAGTCAGAAATCAGAGAGAGAGGGGAATGACATGCAGGAAAGGAGCCACATGTCGGATTTTAACCCGGGATGTCCGCTTGGAGGACTACAGCCTCTGTACGTGGAATGAATGCACTAATCACTTGACTACGGGCACCTATAGCACTACTTTTTGACACAAAGATAGAGAATATCACCCTGTTGTTGTTGTAAGAAAACTCAAATAGAAATCTACTGTTTTGTAGAAGAGCTCGACCGATAAATCAGCCAGCCATTATTAGCAAATCACGTGACTATCGATATCGGCTTATTTTAACTCTGATATAACCAGGTTTATTCAGTGTAAGTTTCTTATTTATTTTTATATAGTTTTTATTTATAATTTTTAATATATTATTAAAATCTAGTGTTTTAGTGCACTGTTGTAATATAGGCTTTTGTTCAACAGAATAATCAATAATAATAATGTGGAAATCTTTTCATTTGATGACTGCGTTTGAGAGATCAAGACAAGAAATGTGTGCGTACTATATCTACTGTATGTCCATCGATCTCTAAAGATCGAAGACAGATCTAAGAAAGATATTTGCTGACATATCGTTATCCACATTTTTTTTCTCTCCTTAATATTGGTATCACTATCAGCCCAAAAAATCTCATATTGGTCGTGGGATAGTTTTTATAAAGTCTATAATCCCAGTCGAAAGTCAAGAAGACCCTGAGATGATTCTGACATATCTCTGCATATATTCTTAAATAGGAGGCATTGTTGCACATATAAAAATGCATGAACTGCAGCTTTGTTGGTGATGAACTTTACAAACCAGTTTAAAATGACCCTTTGTCATATATGACTAATGAAGTTTTTACATAAAGCAGAATCTATCAAGAGGTCCCCTCCTCCCCAAAACCCTCCTCTCCTGTCCAGAGAATCTCAGGAAGACAATCGTCCTTTGTGAAGGTTGTTCACACATGCACCTCACAAGAGAAATCTATCACTGTCAGACGGGATTGGTGATGGGGTCCTGAGACAAGACATGACGCAAAAAGAACGATACAGATGAAGCAGTAGAGTCCGCTATATGACGCTAAAATCACTATATTTGTCTTTATATGCAATGCTACATGTAGTTCACAATATCAACAAAAGAGTGGAGAATGACATACTGGAGAACAGAAAACATAATGCAGCTGTTTTATTGCACAGAGATCGTAACAGTCACGGCAGAAAGTCTATGGTCATGCACATTACACATCACCAACCCCTCCCCCTTTTTCAGACTGCTTTTTTTTTCGCAAAAGTGCTGTAACCGCCACCATCATGTCTTTGCACATTCATATTGATTTGGAAAATGCGTAATATTATTTTCCCAGTCTGTTAATCCACAGTGCGTTTTACCGTTGTGGAAATACAGCACAGCAGGAGCTCCTCATACACACTCAGTAAGACGTGCACACACACACACACACAGCGCTTCAGTCCCCTGCTAGCTCCACTGATATCGTCTCTCTTATGTTACACCTCTGTTACTACGTCTGAAGACGGCACAGAGGTGGATCACTTCATCCCCCCATTACGCCTCTGTGACAATCAGATTGAAGGAGAAACATCACAGATACATAAATAACAGCCGTCTGTGTAGGACTAGAAACCTTGAGTTTATTCACAACTTCAAAAGAGGTCAGAATCACTTCTGAGGCTGCCTCTAAACACTTCTGATCTAAACTGCGTTGTCAAAGCTCCACTGTAAGAGTGTATATCATTCATTAGCAGCTTGTGCCTGTCTTGACTTGCAGTCAACATTGCACTTCCTGACCAATAAGCTGCCATGGCCAACTGTTTATAGGTGCAGACCCCTAACTGAAACCATGTGTGCCTGTAGCTGGGCAAATATGTTGCTAGGAGGCCTTGCTGATTTGCCACTCTTCAGAGGAGACACGGCAACGACTGCTGAGTGCCCGTGTGATAATCAGGATTTTGGTGTACCTAACAGAGGGCTGCTAATTGCTGTGTTTGGGTGTCATTTGCCAAAAGCTAAATGTCTAAATCAACAAAACAAAGGGACCAAAAAGATTGCAGATCACAAGTTGATGCTTGTTCATAAAAAGGCGAAGAATCTGGCTCACTTTTGTTTGTGTTTTTGTACAATAAATAAAAACACTGTAGTTTAAAAAACTTCTACAACAAGCTGACTTTGTGGTGTGTTGCTGTGCGCTGATACTTTAAATCTGCTTTCCTGAAGAACCTGTTTCCTTATTTATCATTTCACCAGTCTAAGCAAAGGGGTGGGGGTGTGTAGTTTTTTTTTTTTTTTTTTTTCACAAGAGGAAGGATAATTGCTGCATACGAGTGTGTTTGGATGCAGTACAAGCGCTTGTTTGCAGAGTCATTTCAACCCGAGCAGCGATATTGCCTTACCTTTCTCCTTCTCTGTTTGTCAAAACAGGTTTTCTTTAAGCGGCTGCAGATTCTGAATTACTATAAAACCTGATACTTGGTTTTCTGCTAAGCGACCTGTCCACCTGCTATCTTGTTAGATAGCTTGCTTCAGTGGAAAAGCAAGACGTTGGTAGAACGGGAAGAATCCATCATATTATGCCCATTGCTGCAGAGTTAAGGAAGAGGGTTTGGTGTTTTTAACCCTCCCCCACTCTCAGTGTGTGGCTGTCAGGAAGAGAGGCTCTTATTGGAGCCCCCTCCCCCTGTTTAGTTCTCCTGACTTCTACACTTTAAATGGAGTCCTCCATTACACATGCTGCTCATGAGCCCCTCCAGTTCAAGGGTTAAATTGCATGCATGGAGGCTGACACTGCATAGTCCACCACACCTGTAGCTGTTGCCTGCTAACTGCTTTACTTAACTTTTGCCCATTATGAAGCGAGTTAAGAAACTAACCACTAACATGATAATCAAGATCATTTGAGTTCTCATCATTTGTAGTACTCAGGTTTTGTTTTGAAATGTTAAAGCTGCTTCTTTTGGGCAGTTGGAGGCAGTGGAACTCCAAAACGAGCTGAAAACCCACCACAGCTTTTACAAATGATGACTTTATAATTTTCTTTAAGCAACCGATATGCAAGTCAAGTGTTAACTGTCTTTAATCTGGTTCAGTCTAGATCGACTATTCTGAACAACATTTAGCTCTTTTGTTGCTACATGGTTGTCATTGGT